ATTTTATAAAGATAATAATTAAATATTTTGTTAGAACTCAATGATTATTCTAATTATATTTTAGATTTTATATATTTAAAATGAGATGTTTATCCTGTATTTGATTATGTTTGTCTATAATTAATTACACGAATTCAGATATGAAGCTTTAATAAGTTGTACTTACACACAATCTACTTGTAATCTTGAGTTTAAAGTAACATGCATTAATAAACAGTATTTTTATGCACAAAAAATGGTTTTTAAGAGTTTTTGTCAAATGCTTTATAATATAGTATAGATAACTTATTGATTTATTCCAGTATGACACCGATAATAAGCATTTTTTGAGTGTCTGGATAAACAACTTATACCGGTGCCAAACCGGTAATAAGAAGTTTTTGAATAAGTTAAACTCTTCTAACTTATAATAAGTTGTTAAATACTTTCATACGCCTAAATATGCTCTTTCTAATTTTCTACCTCGAAAGGGAATCTTTTGGACGTAAATGCAAAAATATATGATCCCAACTACCTTTTTGAAAAGTCCAAACTCTAATTAATTAAGGTGCAAAAATGTAGTTTTTTAAACCATTTTCACCCCTATACAATGGATTGTTTTATATTTTATACCTTCTCGTTTTAAACCTAAACGGTCATAAAAAAAGTTTTAGCGATCGTTTTATTTATCATGTCGGGATATATTTACGAACTTAAAATGAAACCATATATACAAGTATCATAGAGTTACAGTTTTGATTTGTTCCGTTTTCTCGTTCGTGATTTAAACAAAAAGTCGTGTTCAAAGCATCAGGTCCGCAACATTAAAACCAATAACTCTCATATCGTTCAACGACAAACGAAATTAAATGACAACAAAAAGACACGTGTGATTCGTGGGATTTTTTTTTTGTCAACCTTGAACAATTTTTCTTGTACTGTTCTTTGCCACATTTAATAAATTGTTCAACACTGTATTAATTTGGATGAAAATGGAAAACTGAAGTTACCTTGATGTTTCTGGAAACGTACTAATGTCGATGGAAATGAAAATGAAGATGAAAATTATTTTATACGTCAATTCTAGAAACCAATCAAAGCAGTATTTGTTAGCTTACAACATAATTGGGGATCCAAAAACGTTATTTATAATGAATGGAGACATTCATGAGATATTCATCATGAATGGTGTATCATTCACATGTGAAAATTCACTTTCATTATTTATGATGAATGGAGACATTGTCGTATTTTCGTTTATGCTAATTTCACAATGAAATTTAGATTTGTAACTGAACTTTATTCTCTATATAAAAAGAAAGTTATAACCAAAAGCGTTTCGTATTTTTTATGGCAGATATTAAATATCAAATAAGTTACATCAACTCTATAAATAAGATAATAAGGCTTCGTATTTCGGGATTCTTTCTAGAGGTAATCGGTTGTAACATCTCGTTCTTCAAGGTCCTCGAGATCAATCAAAATACTGGTCCGAAAACACATGATTAACATAACGTTATATATATATATATATAGAGAGAGAGAGAGAGAGAGAGAGAGAGAGAGTTTGTTTCAAATACAACACATCGCATTTCTACAATCAATACAACCCAATAAATAGAGATATTTATGAAAATGATGATAGTTCATTTATTATGATTTGAATATTTATAGAAGATGAATATGGTTCATTAATTATCATTAATACTTTATATTAGGAAACAATCAAAACTCATATGAAATCATATATTAATCAAATAAAATGGACGATTGAGATTGAATTTTATTGGTTGCACAAATACCAAAGATTGTATAATAACCAACCCCTATATATATATATATATATATATATATATATATATATTTTGCATTGACTATTCAATGTTCCACATAGTCAAAGGTCAAAGGGGATCAATCTTGACATTTTGTTATGGAATCCAATAAAACTCTAGATGCAATAACCAAAGCCATCATTCCCCACCACAAAGTCACCATTTCTAACTTTTGTATTTCTCAATTTTTAGCCACAAAAGTTTATAGATGTTAAAGTCAGTAAATTATGGATATGGTATGCAACAATAGATCTAGAATTTTTTGTTGAACGGGTATACTTTTAAGGTGGATTAAAGGTCTGTAAAGTCAGATAATGTATTTTTTAGCCGAAGTCCATTGTTTTCGAGTATTTTTTCTTTTTCTTTTTATATTAATTTCGAGAGATTTTTAAAATTTTCAATTGATTTGAGGGAATTTTTTGGTTAAGTTCGACAGACTTTTTTTTCTGGTTTTCTGGTTGATTTCAATGTACTTTTTTCGGTTTTTTGGTTGATATTATTTGTATTTTCTAATATCTCTAAGCACTCCTCAAAGTTTAGTGTATGTACCTTTCATATCCCCAAAAAAGTTTTACTTGCGAAAATTGGTGTGGTCTTTGGGTTTTCTTGGTTTTGATTTCCATAATTTATTTATTAAAGAAAAATCCTATGAAACTACTTTTTACTTGATTTTGGTCTCTCCTAGGCTCCTACTAACATGAGGGTAAAATGGTCTTTTTAGGCATCTCCTTCCATTTTAATAGGAACGGATCCAGATTTTTTTTTTCCAAAAGGTGGCACCATTTTACTATAAAAAAACTATAAGGAAAAAATTTCAAATGATACTATAAGAAACAAATATACGATTTTTTTTTAAATGGTGGCACTATTTGACTACGAAAACGACACTAACACGATTCGAACTTAGACCTGGAACGAAATAAAAGTCTTGCAAACCAACTTTATCAAATAAAACCTGTTCTCATTGTAGTTTCAAATGCATATGGTGGCACACAACAGATTAATACGATTGAACCTTTCACGAACCTAAATTTTTTTACCATTCGATGGAGGAATAATACGGTGGCACGTGCCACCGTATGCCCAACTATAGATCCGTCCCTGCATTTTAACCCTTAAACAACTTTCTCCTTCTCCTATTTCTCTCTCTTGAAGATCGAAAAACGGTGATTTTGTTGATGGATGTTGGTTTGTTGCTATAATTTTTCTTTCTGCTGAAATGCTTCAGTTGCTTCATGCTTCAAGATGATCTTCATGTTCTTAGGTTTTTATTTTATTTTCCATGAAATTTATTTATAAAATGACCAAAGTGCCCCTCATGTAAGGACACATGACTATAGTTAACGGAAAAAAGTGATCGAGCTATTAGTAAGGACCAAATCCAAGCAAATATTCATACTCGAAGGGTTTTTCTATAAGAAATGAATCGTAGGGATCAAAACCAAGAAACCAGATATCACATGAACCAAATTCACAGTGTACTCTTTTTAAAATATACCATTAAAGTTCACACTCGTCATGTCAACTTGAAAATTTACATCAAATAAGGTTTAGTTCTACATTAATAATCAGGAGTGAATATTGGTTGGAATTACTGATTTGAAAACATTTGAACAACTGATTCCAATGATTGTTGTTTAAAAAAGTCTAAACAACCCCAAACCATGTTGGTTGGGTTGGTTTGGTCATTTTAAACATTGATGACGAGTAAAAACACAACTAGGATCATCAGTAGAAGACAAAAAAAATATTTATGAGTTTGCGACTAACAAAATAAATACATGAATAGACTGTTTATGCCTTTAACGAGCTAGATGTTTCAGTCTGTATTAATTTGGTTTTCCACTCAATTTTGGCTGAAAACTCATGGAAAATAAGAAT